TCAAACCCCCCAATAAATTTACAATTGTTCGCCTATTTTCAGCCCGTTGTCGACTATTTCCAGTTATTAAATGTCTTGAGAGTATTGAAAAAAAACGAAAAGACGTGAAAGTTCTGAAAACCGATGATTTCACTGAATTTCATTGTTTTTTGACGAGATTACACGGTTTTCTTGGTTTCCGACAGCATGGAATTCCTTTTTTTTTTGCTTCATTCTTTGGAAAAAATGCTGAAAAACGCTGAAAAAATGATTAAAAATGCTTGAAACGCTGATAAACAACGCGCGGGCGGAGTGTCTTTTGCACACAAAGTATAGTGGACGGCGCAAGTCGCGATAGGTTCCTCGGAGACAACCCTTTCCTCGGAATCGGTGGAGTGTCAAAACCTGTATTAGAAAGGCGAGCCTATCTCCAAGGTACCACCGGAGGGCCTTTCTATTGCAGGGGCACTTCAATTAGAGGGAACCCTTCTTTTTTTTCTGACCATTTTTCCAGAATATTTTCATCAAAACATTTGCCGACTCTTAGTTCAAAATCATGCAGAAATTTAGAAAAGTGTTGAGCAAAAAAGCGTTTTCCAACAAAATTCTGTGAAATCTTGGAAATTCCCGAGCATTTTTCTTTGAAAACGTACGGAAATTATTAACTCCAAACAACAGGTTTTGAAGAGGACCTTTCTACTATTCAAAACCCGCTATCAAAGAGGCCCTTCTAATACAGCTTTTACGGCAAATTTCGGTCACATTTCTGTTCAAAAATTAATCTGTTGACGAACTTTCTGTTTTCGTCCAAAAACAATGGTCTCCTACCGAATTACTCTAATGCCCTTTTGTTTTCAGTTCAATTTTTTGAAGACTCACTCGAGTTGAATGTAGACTCTCGGTCCATCGTCACTCCTCGGTAACAAACTGAGTGCACTCAGCGAATACGAGAATAGATCAACCTGCAAAATAGAATTCTAAAATAAACAGCTCAGCTGAAGACTCACATCTCCCAGTTTCTTATAAATATCACATTTCTCTGCAGTAGATGATCCTTCATCGCCACAAGTCCACACCAATTGGTTTTTGTCCGGTGAGCCATTCATTGAGGATTTTCGGCTAGATCGTTGACTAGCTGATATCCAATTGCTGGATGATCCACGATGAGTTCCGAGCATATCATGCGTGCTTTTTGAATTGGTACGACTTCGAACTTCGGGAGTCACTGACATCGATTCAAGAGGTATAATGATTTTACTTCCATCTTCAGCTGCTTCCACAATGAATCGAGAAGTCAGTTTTCTCGGTGGCGGAGTGTCAGTTTCTTCGTCTTCTTCCAGAAGCTTCGGAGCGATATCTTCCTCCTCTTCCATACGTTTTCTATGACTTCGAACTGTGTTCTCAATGTCTGCTTCTTCGATATCAGAGAGCAATCTTCGAATTCTTTGCTGTTGTTCTGCTTGTTCATCTCCCAACGACACCGAAGCTCGTCGACTGATCTCACGGGAAACTTTTCGAGAATTGAGAGACGAAGACGCCTGAAACAAAAGTCTTACAAAACCAGTCAAATCAAATCAAGGTTTCCCCCCTTCAATTAGGAAATTCCCGCAAGACACAATTAATGATTTATCAATACATGAAAAAAAACCATGTGGCAATAGAAAGAGAACTTTGAGGCGTTGATTGACAAACACGAACTATGATTTTCTTGAACAAAATAGAATATCTTTTGCTTTTTTTCAGGATTTTTAATGAACGAACCTTCAATTCTTTCTCAGCTTCTCTGGCAACTTCTCGATCTTTTTCAATATCGGCGCTTCTTTTGGTTCCAAGATAAACGAAGTATAGAACGATGGAAAACACAAATGGAAGGATCATTGCAGGCACCTTATCCATAAAGATTACTGTAGTTGAGTCAAGCTGAATTCAGAAAACTAAATTTCAAAAAAATCCGAAAGGATAGAAATTGAATACCTCAAAAAAGTAGACAGTAGAAGCCCTTCGGCACGAGTGATAGAGGACAATCCATGAGAGAATCAGGATGCTCGTCGATGCGGCAATTTTAGCCACGTCGTCGCGCATCGCACTGCTCTTTTCCGACGAATTCTGAGCATTTTCAGTTATAGTACACATCTTTTTTCGGGTCGCGTGCCAGTTTTTTACTGAGACGATACAAAACAAAACAAGAGTGAAAAGAGAAGTAGAGATATCAACCGATGAGAGAGTGGGACCGTACTATATAAAGACCTGTTTTTGCCTCTGCCACACGAGAGGACGGACGCAACACACAAAAAAACGTGCGTGGTCGCCGGTCGGCTGAAGGCAGTAAGAACGAGAAGAGAGAATGAGGGAAAATCAATCTTCTGCAGCAGGCCAGTGACCAACATTTTTTAAAGAGCACCACAAACACGTGGTGCTTGTTCTTCTTCCGGCAGTTGTTTACACTTTCAAAGATACCTCTTTGTCATTGCGCCTCCAGCTACGAAAATGAGAACACAAGTAGGATTCTCCTGGACGTTCCTTTTTTGCATTGTTCTATTTATTCGCATATTTCCAGCAACACTTTATCAGAGATTTAATGGTTCACAGAAGGTGTTACAGAAAGAGGGGAAGTTAAGAAGAATAAACTGATGGGCCGAATAATAAAACTTTGTAAACGAAACAGATTAATTTAAATATTTAGGTTAACACCTTTTTTGAATGATTCGAGATTCTTCGGAGGAATTAGAATGGATGTTGCGGAGCATTTAAGTTTTGCAACTGTTTGAAATCCTAGTTGCGTGGAGAAGCAGAGCGGCTGCGAGAACGGCTTCTTGAGCGAGAGCGACTCTTTGAGCGCGAACGATCACGTTCTTGTGGTGAGCGAGATCTGAAATTTCAAAATTGAAGAATTATCTTTTACGGATAATGATTACCTGGTACGGGAGCGTTCTCTCTCGCGACTGCGGTCACGGCTTCTGTCACGGCTACGATCGCGGCTACGATCACGACTTCTGTCGCGTCCACGATCACGAGAACGCGAGCGAGAGCGTCCACGGTCTCCTCTGTATGGCGATCTGAAATAATAGTTTTCATTATTTTTGATGTTCGTTTGTATTTAATTCCCGCTTCCAGATGATTACAGCAAACAAAAAAGTTTGGCTAAAACTTTCTTACTGAATAAGAAGTATCAGCCGACGAAGTCATGAAGAGACGAAGACGTCGGGAGTTCGATTCAGGTACTACTGCGGCGGAAGTTTAGCTGATGAAACGCGACAGATACAATTCTCTGGCGATTGTTTTGGGAGAAGAAAAGGGCGCAAAGTGGTGTGGAAGAGAAGAAGAAGGTGTCGTGACGACAGAAGATGGAGAGGAGTGGAAGAGAGTGAAGTTTGGGATGGCAGATGGGGACGCGGACGAGCGGAGTCCGCTAAAATTTTGAAATATGGTCCACGAATTGAACTAGATCAAAATTGATTTACAACTGAGAATAATAGGCTAGAATAGTACTTCAAATGTATTCGAAAAATTAGCTAACCTGTCACGACCTCCTCCTCGGCCACCATATCCACCGCCATAACCACCACCGCGACCGCCACCACCACGGCGTTGTCCAGTGGAAAGTTCTACACGAGCACGAACACCACAAATTCTCCTGAAATGTGATCGCTTTACATGTCGAAAAGTCACAAAAACTTACGATCCATCAAGTGCGCGGACGGCATCTTCAGCATCACGAACGTCGTCGTACTCGACAAAAGCGAAACCTGGAGGGCGGCGAGCTACCCAAACTTTGCGAATTCTTCCGAATCGGTCGAAAATCTCTTCGAGCTCTTGTGATGTTGCATCACTGGGAAGACCGCCAACGTACACCTTGGCGTCCATTCTGAAAATTTTAAATATATGATTGGGAGAGTAAAGGGGTAAAGAGAGTAAAGTTGGGAGGAGAAGAACAAGCACACGATGTAACAGTTAGCGACTAAAAGATTTTTCGGAAAAGTCGATTAGAAAACACAGAAACTTGATGAAAAGGAGCGGAGACCGAGAGCAAAACGAGCGAAAAAGGTTCGAAAACGCGTCGCCGCCAAGCGCGTCGCGTGTGTCTAGAGTACGGTAACACTCGTTTCAACTGTGTTGCGCGCTGAATCTAACTTTTTAGTGCGAGTTTAAAAACATCGGAAAGAAAAGCACACAAAACAGATTTTGAGCAATCAGCGTTGGCTTAAAAACCCAAATATCAAGATAACATTTTAGGGGCAAAAGTAAACCTGTGAAAACGAATTTTCTGAATTTATGCACATAAGTCGAAAAATCAGTTAGGAACATAAGTTTATAGATTCGTCAAACTTTTAAAATTGAAAAAAAGAGCAAAAAATTATTTCAAGCACATGAAACATAAGCATGCCATAAGTCCAGCTAAACAACACATTTCTCCTCCTCCGCCGCCACCGTGCCTTTCCCGATGGTGATGGTGGCAATCATCAACTCTGAAAGGAATACATCAGATGACATAAACTCCCAGAAAATATAGAACTAACATGACTGTCTGAGGTTGCTGATAATAAACTGCGTATGCTGGTTGAGCTCCTTGTCCAATCGGGACGCCTGGCTGTACTGTGTAAACGGATCCAAGTGGAGGAGGTGGATACGGATTATATGCCTTGAAACCAGTTACACATTTTAATTTTCAATTAAAAAAAAACTCACTTGGTTATAAGGTGGCGGTGGTGCGGCCATTTTCTGAAAGTTAAAAAGTGATAAGAAATCGAAAGCGCTGTGAAGTTGAGTTTATAAAATACTTCTTCTTCGCCATGTTTGCCCACTGCTGATTCATTTCTGAAAGAGTGACGCAAGGTTTCTTCTTCATAATCGGGGTGGAAACAGAAAAACGAAGCATACTAGTTTATTAGTCACATGAATATGATGATAATGATAAAAAATTAAAGGTTTGGAACGCTCTAAACGTTGAGGAAGTCCGGTTTCGAGTCCGTTCGCAAGTAGTGGTACTTTTTATAAAGAGAGTCCGACTGAAGTTGTCGATAGAGAACAGCAGCAAGAACGAAGACTAGGATGACACAGAACGAGAAGAAATTTGAAATCTGTTGAGTCGACTGAATAACTTCTAACTCTTCTTCTAGACCAAGTCCAAACTTCAAGTCTCTTGTATGATAAAGCATTGCTCCAAGAGCCCATTGCATTTCTTCTCCGGCTATTTTCAGGACGCTCTGTTTAAAAATATCTTTTTGAAAATGGCAATTTGTTTTCTGACTTACCTGGAATAAATGATTAGTTTTATCTACATTGAAACCTTCGTGCAATACAGTAGTCACCCATGCGGCTTTAAAGCAATTTGTGCCCAATCTTGAGAATTCAGCGTTCGGAAATTCGTTTCTTTTAAAACCCTCCTGAATATCAGTCCAATTTTTTTGACAATATTTTCTAACTTCATCTGTGAACTTTTCATAGTGATATTCTCCTCCAGAGTTGAAGTTGCTTGTTGTGTACCAGTATTCGGAGAATCCGTACAAGGGAACTTTTGAAAGATTCACAGATGGTCCAATAACGTTACGAAGGAAGCAAGAGGGTTGAGTAGCGCATGTTGGGAGAGTCTTTTCGCCGATAAGAGTGGACATTTGAGCAAGACAGGTGTCCCATTCGCCAGTTCCCTGAAATTTAACATTTTATTGTTAGAATGTTATGCTAGTATAAAATAGCGGAGCTGTGTCCGAAGGTCCCACAACGAAAACTGCAGTAACCTAGAAATGATCTTAATTTTCAGGAAATATAATCATTTTCAGGTTACGGTAGTTGTCGTTTTGGGGCCACGGCCACCGACGTTTCTCTTTCACAGCTCCGATTTTAAGCAGAACTCTTACATTCACTGCGTTCTCTCCGATAAGCTTGTTCAACCCTTTTGGTGAGCACGAATCTACTACTTGATGTGATTCCAACAACGAATTTTCGTATCTTTTGAGACCTTCATTCGCACCGTAACCAAGGAATGTTGTCGAGTAGATACTGTACTTGTAATCCGAGTTATGATCCCGACCCAAGTTAATCTCGTATACATTTCCACCATTGTAAACGTCTTCTTTTGGAATTTCAAATGCAATCTGAACACTTGCTCCACCCATATCGATCATTCCAACTCTCGGCTCATTTTCTTTTTCAAATTTTCCTAGAATATAATTAACCGCTATCCAACTGTAGATTCCTTCCCAGGCTCCATCTATGACACGAATATTTGAATCAGTAATTTTCAGTGGTGTTATTTTTTTCAATCCAGCTTGTAAGTTTTCAATTATTGCATTTTTCTTCTCTTCCGGGATTAGTCTCATTCCGGCAGTCGCAAAGATCATAAGTTCAGTTTCAGCTAGTTGGTGAGCTGGAATGTGTTCTTCAGCAAATCGGAGCAAAGGGGTTAGATATTCTGAACACGACACTTTAAAAAAATTATATGCTTAAGCTAATATTACCAACAACTTGTTCCGGCTTATCTTCGAACGTGCTCAGTCCAGGTGTCACTTTTTTCACAACCGGCTCGTTTTCATGAATCAAAGTATCAATGTCTGTTAGTCCACCGGCCATTGGTTTCAGAGTGTACACGAATAGACGCGTTCCACTCGACCCAGCATCACATATCACACCGTATTTTATGTCTGGAAAATGATATAAGTTTAAGGGTTTTTCTGGAAAAAAATCTGGTGACCGAAGGTCCCACAACGACAACTATTGTAACTTCGAAATACTTTTATTTGTCGGGTTCATTAACTCGATTTTTGTGCGTTTTCACTCAATCTTCTCATTATTTGAATTAGTCATGTTCCGACATTCTGGGAAGAAACAAACACAAAACTCGACGAGAAGCAGTGAAAAACGAACAAATAAATCTGGAAATTAAACCTTTTTTATATTACTGTAGGTTTCGTTGCGGGACCTTCGGCCACGCCCACAAGCTTCTCTCTTTCACAGCTTCGATTTTTGCATTCTTTTTTCTTACCATTTTCAGAATCTCCCACACTCCTAGTTATCCTTTGACGCGCTTCTGAGCTGCTGCCTATTGTAAAAGGAAGAACGGAGAAAATAAAAATGATACAGGTGAATGTGAGCAAGATGCCGTACACATTAAAAGTTCGCATCGGTCACCTGAAAGCTGAGGGAATTGGCAGAATCGATTGGTGAAGATCTTCTCCGAGAAGCAGCCAGCGACTGGATCCTTATCGCGGATCTCCGCCGCTTCCGCCGCCAAAAAACGAAGAAATAATGACAGAAAAAGTCCACTCAAGAGACATATTTTTGGAAAAAGTAGAAGACGAAAATAGGTTTTTTAGTTGACTATGATACAGAGATATAGATATCAGATAAATTTCGATGCAGAGAAAAAACATGATGACTTAGAAAAAGGTGTCAATGAATGGCATTGGTTCGTCATGTTTTCCAGGTCGTCGCAGCTTGGAATTGACACTTGGCTCTTTCATTGACTTGATGTTCATCTTGGCAGACCGTTGACGACGAACCTGTGTCTTGGAGGGATTTGATAACTATGTATACCAATTGAACTTACGGTGGATGGCATTTCAGCATCATCGGAGATCGGAGCAGGAGCGGGTGTTGAAGGTTTCTTGAATCTAGGTGTCGGCGCTTTTCGCGGTGGTGCTTTTTTAGGTGGTCCTCCAGGTGTTTCTGAAGGTGCAATCAGTAGTGGTGCTCGCTTATATCCAACAGCTGGAGCTGCTTCTTCTGGGACGTTCTCTGAACATTCAAGAATATTTACCATACTTGTGGAAAAGATGCCCGGCCCGCGGGCCGGACCGGGCCGGACCATGGCCGGGCTGAGATTTTTCTGAAAGCGGGCCGGGCCGGGCCGGAAAAAATTACACATGGCCGGCCCGCGGGCCGCGCTTTTTGAAAATTTCGAAATTTTAGAGCAAATCATCATTTTTCAAGATGGCTTTTCTCCTTAATAAATAAAAATCTACACTAGAGGACGATTCTGTCGAAAAAAACTGTTTTGAGGTCGTTTTTAGAAAAAATTTCATCCTTGGCTTAATGAAGTTTGATTTTTTTGCTAAAAATTCAATTAAATTGACTTTTTCGGATGGTTGTATACATTTGGATTAATATTTGTGCTATTAAAAATAAATTGGCACATTTGAAAAGTAACATTTTCGAAAAGTTGTCCTAGGCGGGCCGAGCGGGCCGGGCCGGCCNAGTGTTTTGAGGGATGCGGGCCGGCCCGGGCCATCACATGTATGATATTTACAGGATTTAGGAAATAGATACCATGTAAACTATGGAACAGTTCACTTCGTCGTCCTTTAGAAGCTCTCTGTGCCATGCGCGGAGTTCCATTTTCTAGGTTTTGAGTCATCGATGAGGATGAAGATGGTCCGTTTTGAATATCCATTGGAGACTTATTTTCCTCTTCGTAGTCGCTCCGAGGGAAATTACGTACCGGAGATTCATCCACTACAAATATAATTTGATATATTGATATATCTGCAGTTCTTACCCACATTTTTCTAAATTGCATTCCATTTTGGGTGCTCGTCGAGTGACCATTCCACTTGGCTCCGGTTCCATATCTTTGAATATTCCACCCAATTCGAGTCCGGTTTGTTGAATGTTCTGTACAAGTTTCTTGTGTAGGACTGCTGCATGGGCAAGCCGACTTTTGACACGTTGCTCGACTATTCTTTCCATTTTTTCGTCCAGAGTCGCATCTATCAGTTCTTGATTCCTGTGATAAAACAATTTTGTTTGTTTTTTAGGCTGGATCTTACTGTTCTCTCAAAGCAATGTTCTCGTTTCTGAGCTTCTCCAAAGCTTTGGTGCATTGTGATAGCTGTTGCTGCAAGTCAAAATATTTATGTAAATACCATATTTCCATAAAAAACTTACTTTTAATTGAAGATTTTTCTTGATGAGAGACTCGTTGGTGCTCTTGAAGTTAACAGCAGGTTCTGAAAATTGAATTTTATATTTTCCTCCTTGATTCAGAAAACACGCCTACCTTCTCTGGTTGGCGCCTTCTTGCTTGACGCGATGGCTCCAAACAGGGATTGAGCTGCTTTCGCGTTCATTTTTCTTGTCACAGCACTACCGATCAATAGGAACGTAAAGCGGAGATGGGCAACGCGAGTACACTATTCAAATGTGCGTCAGTTTACTCGCGTCCGCGGACAGTCGATGACTGCATCAACAGGTGGTCCTGAAACAACTGGAAATGGTTTCGGAAAGCAAATGAATAGGTGAGGAACCAATCGAAAAACTTGATAGATTGCTTGAGCACGATTTCAAACATAAACATCGATAGAAACAAAAAACAAGAATATTCACAGATTTGCATTCAAAATTTTCTATATCTCCCTGCGTCTCTTTGCCAGACACACTGCCTCAGAGATGCAGTGGAGCGCAGAAGCCGCGAATGATTCGCGCCAATTTCGAAACGAAAAAGTTTTTGACTGATTCGAATCTGCAGATCAGATTCCTCAGAGATTCGACGGGAGAAAACTGGGAGAGAAAGGGTGTCTGGAGAAAACGCCGAGAGAACCAGGTTCGAACGGCTGCAAAGCTGAAAAATAGGCGCACCTGTAAAAGTGGAGCGTCGTTAGGAAAAACAGTTTTTTTGTATTTAATATTCAAAGTTCTATTTATGCTTATGTTCTATTTATGTATCCGCCTTCTCTAGAATACCATGATTTTATTGACCGACAAAAAAACGACGAATTTGAGAATTGCGGATTCGGAGAGAGCTCTGCAGGTAACATTTTTTGCGTCTTTTTCAGCGTTTCAAGGTTTTTCGTGAAAACGATGCAAGAGATGAACCGAAACAGGAAGAACATATCGATAAATAACTCAGAGCTCGATTTACACAAATTCGAAAAGTCTTCTTATCGGAAACCGCGGCTTGTCGTGAGCAGGTTAGTCTTCGGAAGTCTAGTGGACAAAAAACATGCGTAAAATTGCAGGCTCTCAATGGAACAAAAAATGAGTTATGATCCGATCAAAACGGTTCAAATATACCAGGATTTCTTATATAAAATGAGTGTAAATGGATTCTGCTTTGCGGTGTTCTGAGTACGGTGATTATGTACACGGATATTGAACTCAATGTACTTAGCGAGGGTGGTTCGACATGCCAAAAAATTCATTATGATTTAAATATTGTTATGGGGTTATTCATGTAGCGAAAATATGTATTGAAATGCATTTCCGCGCCCTCGAAACTCAATGCATGAGCGTCGCGAAATGTATTTCAAAGCATTTCGCGACATAACTGTAAATGCATTGAAATACATCGCGTGGCGGGATATTTTTTCTGGAAAAAGGGATGCGCCTTTAAACTTTGTGCAGGATTGGGAAA